TCATTTTTTTCACAGTTGGATTTTCAACCTCCAAAAAAAAATGTCTAGCATATAGTAAGCACTCAATGAGTTGAATAAATTGAGGAGCCTATTAATATCCCTTACCTCAAAAACACCTTGTGACCACCCTGTGGCTGTCACAAGAGGCTATAGTTAGTTCTACTTACATCCAAATATTCAGGCATGTGGTAACAAAAGTAAATTTTACACCGTGCTTTCCATTTAAACCCCCGAATAAGAAAGTTAATCTATCTTTGTTTTTCTTATTCACCTCTTCATTTCTACTTTACCAACCTTCTCCTTCATGGTCACTGCCAACAGTACAAAAAACTTCCAGACACATCACTGAGCTGTGCATTTAAGATGCTGTCTAATACTATAAGGCGCTCTGCCCAGTACCAGAGGAGAAAGATGATCATCAATATCTCCTAGCTATAAACCCTGTGACCTACAACAGTGACCTGCCTGCAAGATACACTGGTGCAATAATAGTGGTGCAAATGTACAGGCATGACCACCCACTCTCTGGTTGGATTCAAGGCCCATGCCATGAGATGAGCCCGTGCCTCACACTGCTGAAGTGACCACGATCTTGAGACTACATAGGTCAGGAGCCTAGAGGAAAACCTAATACTATGATTAGTAAAGGAATACAATGATATTCTACCACACCCATAGACCAATGCCTCACTCAGCCCTCATCAGAGAAGCTTCTTCTTCCAGTAGATGGGAACGAACACAAAAAATCAAAACTGAACAATGTGCAGAGAAAAGGAGACTGTAGAACTGAGTCCCAAACGGGATGTCTTCAAAGCATCTACTCCACGACCCCTCAAGGCTCAAGGTTCTAAAAGGTAAAGGAGGCAGAAGGATTATAACAGCCAAAGGTTACGGATCACTCCAAGAAAACACTGCCTTACAGACAAATAGGACTAAGGCACAAATGAAGTCACAGAGAATGTGGCAGCATGCACAGCACAGGGGCCTACACAGGTCCAAACCAGACAGGTCCCAGCAATGAGAAGAAGTGGGCAAGGGTTCCCTCCCCTAATCAGAGAGCTATCAGCAAGTGATTCTATTGGCAAAGGAAAAGTCAGTTTTCTTTAATGGAGTCTCACTGAGTATACTAACCACACTTCTGGGTAGACCCTATGCTGAGTAGCAGTTGACCAACACAAAACAAACTCAATGTTTTTTGGGTTTTTTGTTGTTGTTGTTTTGGTTTTGTTTGTTTATAGACTTTTTGTTTCATTCTGCTTTGCATGGGTATTTTTTACCCTTATTGATCTTTTACTTGTTCATTTCTTTTTATGGATGGGGGAGGTGGTTTGTGTTTGTTTTAAAGAATAAGAGAACATAAAATTGGATGGGTAGGGATATAGGGAGGATCTGGGAGGAATTGTGGGAGGGAAAAGACATGATCAAAAAAGAATGCAATCCGAATACCAGGCATGGTGGCATGGGCCTGTAATTCCAACACTCAGGGGATTGAGGATCAAAGCCTGCTTCATATATACAGTGAGTTCAAGGCCATCTTGGGCTACATGAGACCTTGACTCAAAACAAACTGCCTGTCAAAACATATTGTAAAAATAGTTATATTATTTAAAGCAACCTATATATTCAGCACACTCTCCATTAAAATTCCAATGGCATTCTTCAAAGAACTACGGGGGAAAAAAATCTAAGCTTCATATAAATGCACAAAAATAAGCAAGCAGATCAATGGAAAGAAGACTCAGAAATAAACCCAATACCTATAACCAACTCATCTTTGGCAAAGGTTTCAAAAGCCAACACAGAGAAAAGTCTCTTCAAAATGGTGTTAGAGACCTGGATATACAATGAAATTATATCCATATCTTACCCTGCATAAAAATCAATTCAAATTGGATCTAGGACCTGAAACTTGGAAATGTCTGGAGGAAAACACAGGTGACTACTGAGAGGCAGACAGATGGGCTTTCTGAAAATGACCCCACTAGCAGGAAAAATGCTAACAAGGTAATGTGGTATTTAAAAAACTCTACAGTAGCTGCGTGGTGATGGCACACACCTTTAATCCCAGTACTTGGGAGGCAGAGGCAGGTGGATCTCTGAGTTCAAGGCCAGCCTGGTCTACAGAGTGAGTTCCCATACAGCCAAGGCTGCTATGCAGAAAAACTTTGTCTTGAAAAAACAAAACTACAAAAAGATTACAAAAAAAAAGGAAACTGTACATCAAAGGAAATGATTACCAGTGTAAAAAGACAGCCTACAGGTAGAGAGTGGAGGAATATGCCAGATTGGAGATTCCTATCCATAATACATAAAGCATCATAAAAATAAATCACCTAATGGGTGAACCCAACAGATACCTCAAAAGAAATACTAATGGCTAATAAATACTTTAAAAAGTATTCATCATCCTTAGCCATCAGGTTAATGCAAATTAACTTTGTAATTGCCAATTTGCCCTAGTCAGAGTTATACTGCTGATGGTAATGTAACCTAGAGCAGTCACTGTAGAACTGAATGTGCAGGATCAACAACAACAAAAACCCCTACAAACTACTATCATCTACCTATTACACTCCTGGATATGTATATTGATATATACCCAAAGCACTGCAAGTGAACATACCACAGATATCTACACATCCATGTTTATTGTTGTATTTTTCACAACAGCAAAGAAATAGAACCAGCCTAGATGTAGGCCAACAGATTATTAGAAAAAGAGAAAATATGGTACACAGATACAATGGCATTTTATTCAGCCACAAAAGAGATACAGAGAGAGAAAGGAGGGAGGGGAAAAGGGAGGGAAGGAAGAAGGAAGGAAGGAAGGAAGGAAGGAAGGAAGGAAGGAAGGAAAGAAGGAAGGAAGGCATGACATTTATAGGAAAAGAGAAATAAGCCAGACTGGCAAATATTTTTTTCTCACATGTGCATATCACTGAACTCAGGCCCTCTGCAATAGCATTATGCACTCTTAACTGTTGAATCATGTCTCCCACACAATCAAAAATACATATTTTAAGTAATGTATAAAAGACTTGTGTAACTCAAAAATAAAACACACAACTGAATTAAAAATAGACAAATGAGAGCTATAGCAACCTCATTGAGAGGTTGCCTAGAATGTGCAACTTTTATTACCAGGAAAAATAAAGATTTGAGTGATTCTCCAAAAAAGATATACAACTGGCCAGTAAAGAAATGAAAAGATACTCAACATCTTTCATTAGAAAACTGCAAACAAGTTGAAGAGGCTCGGAGGTTAAGAGCACTGACTGCTCTTCCAGAAGACCTGCTTTCAATTCCCAGCAACCACATGGTGGTTTACAACCATTTGTAATCAGAACTGGTGCCCTCTTCTGGCCTGCAGGACACATGCAGACAGAGCACTGTATACATGATAAATAAATCTTTAAAAATATTTTAAAAAAAGAAGGAGGAGGAGGAGGAGGAGAAGGAGAAGGAGAAGAAGAAGAAGAAAGAAAGAAAGAAAGAAAGAAAGAAAGAAAGAAAGAAAGAAAGAAAGAAAGATGTAATGACACCACTTCACAGCTAGTAGGATAGCTATGATTAACAAGATAGCAACAGTACTATCAAAGACATGGAAGCTAGAACCTTCCTCACAGGTTCATGACAATTAAGAATCACACTTAACTTTGAAAAAACAAGCAATTCCTGAAATACCAGGCACTGAATTCCCATGGTGTCCAGCAACTCTACTCCAAGACAAGGGTTTTTGTATTTGTGCACAGATGTTCCTAACAGTATTATTCCTAACACCAAAATCTGCCTAATGTTCATTAATTGATGGGTTTAAAAAATGTAGACCATATTAATAGAAAATAGTTTGTCAATTGAAAGAAATTTAAGCTCTGATATATACTACAGCACAGGTGACTGTGCCAGGAAAGAAAACAGTCATGAAGATCACATTTTATGATTCCATGGACTCAACTGTGTCCCAACTCAAAACTCATGGAGGGCAATAAGATGACTCAACAGATACAAGTGTCCTGTCAAGCCTGACTCCTCCAAGTTGCCCTCTGAACTCTATACATGTGCCATAGTACAGACACAGACAGACACACAAACATGCACGCACATCAATACCTATATAATAAAAATTCACATGTTGAAGCCTGAACCCCTCAATGTGACTATATTTAGACACTGGCTTTTAGAAAGGCAATTATGGCTATATTCTAAGTACATCTTATAATAAAGGAAGATACCAGACAAGAGGCCACATGAGAAAAAGCAAAATACAGCTCTGCTAAAAACAGAAGACTCACTAGATGTTCAGTGCCTCCAGCCCCAGAACTGTGAGGAAGTAAATTTCTATAACTTAAACATTCAGTCTGTCTATCTTGTTACAGCAGCCTGAGCTGGCTATGTCATTCCCTTAATATGCAATATTCAGGAAAGGCAAGTTTGGAGATAAAAGCAGACTCGTGGCTGTCCAAGGTGGTAGGTTAGCAATGACTGCTACTGAGTGAGGACTTTAAGGAGGGTGATAAAAATAATCAAAAATTAGATGACAGTGACAGTTATGTACATCCATTAAATGGTGATTAGAGAACACTGCCTCAAAAACCTACAAAATGCATTTCAAGCCAGGTAGCTATGATCCTAACATTCAAGAGTCTAAAGCAGGAGGAACAAAGTTCAAATTCTGCATGTGCTACACAGTGAGTTCCAGGTTACCATGGGCTACACAATGAGTGTGACCCTGTCTCAACAACAAAATTTCAGTAACTTAAAAAAAAAAAAAAAAAAGCAACATGTTAGAAAATATACTTCCTAAAAATGGAGCAGCGTCAGTAAGATGGCTCAGTAGGTGAAGGCACTTCCCACCAGGCCTGACAACCTGAGTTCAAGCCCCCAAACCCACATGGTGGAAGGAAAAAAACCAACTCCTAAAAGTTACCCTCTGACCTCTACATGACTATGAGGACACATACACATCAAATAAATGCAGAAAACAAAGCTGCCTAACTTACCAAATACCGTATAATTCTGGGAAGAAACGTAAAGCCCGGGAGACGCCTCCTGACAGAAACAGCGAAGGATGTCAACTGCAGTTGCTCCTCAGACGTGCTCCCACACAGCGGGAAGAAAGTGGCGCAAGCTACTAAAAACACCATCACTGTCACAACTGAGGGTAGTAGGAGTTCATCCTTCAATAGGAGAGGGAGCATGCTGTAAAGGGAAATAGTACAAACCAAAAGCATCAAGTTAAACTGTAATTACTTGGTAAAATTTCCAGTGAATCTGAAGAATCATACTGGAAATAATATATAGAAGTTTGACTCACCTAAATGTTGACACTAGTAAAAACCAAGTTGACATGAAAGGAATTTCATTTAAAAGTAAGCAAACTGGTCTAAAATGACAAGAAAATGATTTTAATATTACAGAACATAATTTTACCTATAGCCTGTAAAAATACAAATATACTCTACATTTCTGATTTTGAAGGTTAGTTTAAAAAGAAAAAAAAGTTCTTCATGTGACTACTCAGAAAGCGTCAACTTCTCAAAAACTAGACAACAGCCACTTGACTAGGTCATCGTCAAACACTCCTTTGGGTGCCACATGAACGGTCCCTTAAGGAAAGACCAGACCAAGAGAGAGAAGCATTTGCATTTCATTCACTTTGCAAATACAAAGTGCATCCCAAGGCAATAGTTTTCAAACTTCTTCCATGTTACAGGCTACTCAGCTGGTTACAAGCTAAAGTTATGAAAAGCACGATTGCCAACATCAATGACATAAGGACAACATAGGTAGATTATAAAAGGGACAGGTTAAAACTATTAAACTAAAAAAAGAAAAAGATGAAAACTAAATAATTAAGAGGCCACACAGATATGACAAGGACACATGGAATGGAAACAATATACTGATAAGTGGAAACCTCTTATCTGGTGTTTAGGGTGACCCACCATAGCCCTTAACTGGTGTTTTATGGGTCTGCCTGCATCCATGCTCATGGAGAAGCAGGCCAGTTAGAAGCCTTGAGCCCTAGTCCCATGGCTGCCACTCACTGTGTGACTTAGGCCAAAGATTTATTTCTCTTCAAGTATCACCTTGTATTTGATTTTTAGCAATATAAAATAAGCTTTAAGAAGACAGCTGTTGACTTACTGTTGCATTACTATTAATCTCTCGCCCCTTGTGTTTACAAATGTTCCAAAGGCTTGACATTCTCCCCCGTGGTGGTTTGAATGAGAAATGTCCTCCATAGGCTCAGATGTTTGAATACTTGGTCCCTACCTGGTTGTGCTGCTGGGGTAGATTTAGGAGGTGTATCCTTGCTGGAGGAAGTATGTCATTGGAGATGGGCTTTGAAGTTTAAATGTGCCATTCAAGTTTGATCTCTCTGCTGCATGCTAATAGCTAAAAGTGAGTTCTCAGCTTGCTGCTCCAGACTTCTGCCAAGCTTCTACATCATAATGGTGAGGGACTCTAACCCTCTGGAACCATAAACCCAAATAAACCCTTCCTTCTGTAAGTTGCCTTGGTCATAGTGTTTTGTCATAGCAACAGAAAAATAACTAATATATCCCCTTTCTTAAAGGAATCTTTTTTCCTACATAACAACAAGCATGTAAGATTTAAGCTTGGCACTGAAAAGCCACTGTTTCCTATGAAGGGATCACATTCCAGTGCTTCAGTGTGCTAAATCAGAAGGGGTTTATCAGCATGAACATAGTAAGTATTCAATAAGTAAGGTTTTCTGAGTCTTCCCATTTACTCTTTCAAAATATAATTACCAAACCAAATGAAACTATTACACCATAGGCCCTGCACTGAAAATAATAAAGATGAGCATTATTTGGCCCTTAACCTCCAGGTGTATCAAGTAGCACAATCTTCTCTGTCCTCACGACCTCACTTTCCTCTTCATCTGCCTGACTTGCCTCAAAATAAAAGCCAAAGTTTCTAGTAGCCCTACATGATCTGGACTACTGTTTCCTTTGAAGTTGTAAGCCCTAACCCAGGTGCAGGCTTTAGGGGCTGACATGTCCCCTCATCTGCAAGGACCCTGTGCAGCAGCTGCATGCCAAGGTGCCCTTCACAGGGGCAACACAGATGTGCAGCAGCTCTATGCCAAGGCGCCCTCCACAGGGGCAACACAGATGTGCAGTAGCTGCATGCCAAGGCGCCCTCCACAGGGGCAGCACAGATGTGCAGCAGCTGCATGCCAAGGCGCCCTCCACAGGGGCAGCACAGATGTGCAGCAGCTGCATGCCAAGGCGCCTTCCACAGAGGCAGCACAGATGTGCAGCAGCTGCATGCCAAGGAGCCTTCCACAGGGGCAGCACAGATGTGCAGCAGCTGCATGCCAAGGCGCCCTCCACAGGGGCAGCACAGATGTACAGCAGCTACATGCCAAGGCGCCTTCCACAGGGGCAGCACAGATGTGCAGCAGCTGCATGCCAAGGCGCCTTCCACAGAGGCAGCACAGATGTGCAGCAGCTGCATGCCAAGGCGCCTTCCACAGGGGCAGCACAGATGTGCAGCAGCTGCATGCCAAGGCGCCTTCCACAGAGGCAGCACAGATGTGCAGCAGCTGCATGCCAAGGCGCCCTCCACAGGGGCAGCACAGAGCTTCCAGCTCAGAGTGCTACCTAAGGAAAAGCCCTAGTATTTCCCTCATCTCCTGGTCATTTTGTACAGGTGTCTTCCACAAGACCACTGAGAACACTGGGTGGGGATAAGGGGGCAGTTGGGACTGATCTGGAGAGGATTCAAGTATTCCACATTATTCTAGGCCTATACTATTTTAGTATTAGGATAACACAGCCCAGTTGTCACCCAGTTCTTTCTATGGAGAGCAGAACATTTTTATGCTCTTAAACAAAGTAATCTTTTTAAGGGCTGCCAAAAGGGTCTGAAACCTTCATCTATAGGCAGTGATGTGTGGGGAGGGGCAAAAAAACAAAACACAAAAGAAACAACACATGGAGGATCTCATGAAGGTAGAGAATAAGGCTATTCAATAGATGTGAAAATGAATTAAAATACAAAAAGCAAAGAGAAGAAACAGGGAAGCTACTTTGAGGAATGTGTTCAATTAGTATAGAGAAAGTATGACGAACAGGAAAACATGAGAATATGTCAATAATAATTTTATGAACTGTTATGGCTTAAAATATCTTAAAAGGTAAAATAAAGCATTATCTGAGGATAACTAACATAATTACATACAAAAATACTGTGTGGTCTTATTTAGTACTTAACATTTTTATAAACTTATATATATTTTATTTATTTATTTTATATTTTATAATAAATAAATATAATTTATGTTATACATATGTATATATTTACTATATATGCATACTTGAAAGATTTTTACTTACAATGACACCAAGAGAATGGACTTTTCATGTACTTGAAAAGAAAACAGAAAGAATGATAGTGCACAGCTAACCTTTAAGAAAGAAGAGGGTAAAACATGATTTAACAACTTGAAAATTATATCAATGTAATTATAAGTCTAAATAAAATATCATGGTTACTACCGAGAGGTAAAAGATCAAACAGAATATGCATAATATTTAACCAAATATGTTTCTGTTGTCTCTTCTTCCCAAAATCTGGTTTTGCACCTCTCCTACACAAGCCTCTCAACCAGACATCTGACATCTGGAATTTGCCTCACTTTTACCTTTTCCTCGCCTACCCTTAAACACACACAAATACACACTTTGTTTAACATCTATTCCCAGCTGCTCTCTGTCCTTTCCTAGCTCAAGCTCTCTTCTACCTTGAGTGTCTTTTCTGCTGTCCAGAAGTTCCAAGCCTTGTCTAGCTTTCCAAAGCTGGCTGAAATCCCACTTGCTCGGCAACAGTCTAAAATCCTCCCCAGAACCTCTCCCTCCCCCATCGCATCACGGACTTGATCTGCACCAACCAAACACAATGCCAGCTGCTCAACAGCATGACTTGCACACACGTTATCACCACCTAGCTATTCACTCATTAGGCAATCCATACAAAGGTACTGATTGCTCAGCCTAACACCTAATCCAGCACCTGTACAAGGACGATGTGTAGTGTCCGTCAAATAATCAAGTGTTTTGTTTTGCAGCCCAGCCAATCTTACCCCAAACCAGAAAATAATTACTAGTGTTTTTATAAAATGTCAGTTACAGGAAGAACTGGACATCTTAAGAAAAATAAGAAACATACCAGAGTAAATCTGAATCCTTTGGAAGAGGGCTGAAGGGTCAATTTTATACATGCAGGAAGCAGGCTCAAAAATGTAAGGCAAAAGCTAAAAAGCAATAAAATGTGTTTTTTTGTGATTGAAATCTAGCCAAAACAATTACTTTTTAAAACCTTACTCCCAACAAAAAAGCATATCATTCATCGATATTTGATAAGGTTTTATTAAACCTTAACCTAGAATCTAAATAAAACATACACATTGGAGTATATATACATTTTTAGTACACAAAAGTCAAACAATACTAAGTATTACATATATCAGTTAGCATCTAATACCATGTATAAAAATAAGATACATAGTTGCAGGTCAGTTACCGAACACTAGAAAATAAGAAGACACTACCAGGCCTAAGGAGATAATACTGTACTTTCAACACAAATATTTATAAACTTTATTCTCAGGAAAGCCCTGGTCCTCACTCTACAAAGTTGTCAGACTGAGTTGTCAAGTTCAAAAAGAACAAATCATAAGGGAGGGAGCTGTGTAATTTCTCTTAGTGATGGCTGGGGAGTAGGGAAGAGAAAAGTCAGAAACAGCCTGTGACAGCACTGTGACAGACAGCTCCTAGAGCCTGAACACTGGTATATGTCTCAAAAGAACCTGCTGACTTCCTCACTATTGGTGGTTCTGTAACTAATGAGCTCACGAGGCTAAACGGATAACTAGCATATTACTGTAATTGGGTTAGTTTTTTTGAGACAGGGTTTCTCTGTGTCCTGGCTGTCCTGGAACTGGCTTTGTGGATCAAGTTGGTCTTGAACTCACAGAGATCCACCTGCCTCTGCCTCCTGAGTGCTGGGATTAAAGACACACGCTACCCGCTGCCCCACTTGATGTAATATTTTTGAGGGGCAGTTTATAAACACTAAATATATATGTTAGTTACCTGATTGCTAGCTGGATGTGACGAGGCAAAATTTCCTTAATCTTCAGAAAAACATTAACGCTGCACCAAATATTGGCTACTTTATCCTTTAAAAAGATTTGTCAGTTTTACATTTCAGTACAGTTGAAAGAAATATTAAACCCCATGAAGTACAGCCTATAACCTACAAGTAATAAACTTTCAAGACATGAAACTTTCATTCACATTTATAACAAAGTAGATTAAACTCTTCAAGCAATAAAAATATATACCCACAGCCCCAAGCATTTTTCTTTCTTGAAATGCAGATTATGTAACTCATTAGTCAACTATAATCCACATCCCTAGTAAACTACTTAATATTTTTAAAAAAGCAATGTATTAGGCAAAAATCTCCCCAAATTTGGAAAATAAATATTAATTACATTTGCACCATTGTATTACAAATGTAATCTAATAGGCACTAGCAATGACAAGACTAATTGCTAATAAATCAAGAAGATTTCAAACATTAGGAATCGTGCTATTTCAGCTCCCCAGCGAGTGCAACCCATCCTCTACACAGCTGCAAAGCTCACAGTTGTGCAGGCATGACATCAAGAGAGGAATGGCCTCTAATAACTGTGCCACCCACGTCAAAGACAAGGTCTAGAGCAGTAGTTCCCAACCTGAGGGTTAAAATCCTTTGGGGGTCAAAAGAGCCTTTCACAGGGGTTGTATATCAGAGATCCTGCATATCAGATATTTACATTACGATTCATAACAGTAGCAAAATTACAGTTATGAAGTAGCAATGAAATAATGTTATGGTTAGGGTCACCACAACATGAGGAACTGCATTAAAGGGCTGCAGTATCAGGAAGGTCATCTAGAGCTGTGGTTGGCAAGGAATGGGGGACTGGTGACAGACACACTGACTATGCCTGACACCATTCCACACTTACCATCATAGACACTTTCTGAAATGGAAGAGGTAACAAATAACAGGCAGCTTTTATAGGAAACAAGCTTTTCTTTACTTTATTGTTAATGTTATCAAGACTTGAAATAATGACTGCCACATGATTAAGTCTAGGAATGTCTGACCTCAGCTTCCTATCTGTACAACAGGGACAACAGCCATCTTAGAGCTGTGGGGATCATAAATCAAGCAATAGGGTCTAGCACCTAATGAGTGATGTTATCAGCAATATCACTAATCTGTACAGCCACAATGTCACACACATCTCTGCCTTTACAACAACATTGCTTAATCTCTTCCAAAACGATTATCCCATCCTCCTATAAATCCACTGAAAAGTATTTTATAGGAATTATCTATTCAAAACTTAGAAATGTTTCTAATTCTTTTCAAAAGAAATGTTATTCAAAAGCAAATTAGCTATAAATATGTTGTCTCTAAGTTTATTAAAAGACCTTTTGTTCCAGAAATAAATGGTTTGTTTAATTACTAAATCTAAATGATCAAATTATTCATGCAATAAAAGTTTAACAAGAGTGATTAGGCTAGCATTAAATGAAGGATTCTCATTAAAAATTACTATGGATGAAGGTTATATATTTCATAAGGATCATGAGATCTTTCTGAGGCAAACAGGATTATCAGCTTAACAAATAATTGTGGCAAACTATGAAGCAAATGTAAACCAACATGATGGTTAACCTGCTAACTACAGGGTCCAACACTCTTTTACTATGGACCAATCTGACTTGAAAAGAAAAAAATGTACAACTGAATTATGGATTTAATTATGGAAAAAATATTCATATAAGGCACTAAAAACTGCCAACAGAGCCAGGGGTGCTACATTGGATTACATAACCGACAGGGCTGACTGGAAGAGGAAGCGGAAGTTACTGTCCCTGGTATCTCCTCCATGAGCTCCCCAAGGTTAGAAGGGAGGGGCAGTAATAGGAGAGAGTGGCTCCATTTTAAAACATACCTCAAACAATCCACGATCAACAGGGAAGAGTCTTCTTAGAACCTGTAGCGTGTGTTCCCTTTCCGTGAAGAAGGGCAACCAACACAGAAGGAAGGAAGCCGTGACAGTACAGGCTATCTTAATCAACAACACAAACCTAGAACAAAGGGCAAAGATGAGCAGCAAGACAGAGAACGGCTAGCAATTCTTGAAAAGTGATATAAATATCATTTAATACAATAACTGCAAATCAATAACTACCAATAAAGACTTAAGATGGGAACCCACTCACAACACAACCGAAAAGTTCACAACTGTTAAAAAAAAAAAAACTCATTTCTCCAGCCAAGGACCCCCCCCACTATCATTAATTAGCATTTAGCTTGTATGCCATTGCTACAGACATGGAAGGATACATTAGCCATTAAAAAAAAAAAAGTAAAGCGGTAATATTTTTAATAAGTGGATAGCATGATACGCTCTAAATTGAGGCAAACTAACTAATCCCCACTGCCTCCAAAGTGTACTTGGATCGAAACAGTCATGTAGTTATGGAAATTTGCAAAAATACAGAACACAGCTCAACAGCTTTCTTCCCATCCATCCGTGCACAGTGAACACATTCACAAGAAACTACCCAAGCAAAGAGCACCTTCCTCCGCATAAGTCTGCAAATCAACTCTCTGAAAGTTTTTAATTCTGTGCTTTAGAAGTCACTTACCCCTTTCCTTTGAGGCCTTTTTTAAAACACTTGCCAAGTAAAAAGCAAAAAAATGGCAGGGAGTGGTAGAGCTCCATCTGTTTATAATTTAGAGCTAAGCAAAATGCCAGTGACCCTAGCAGGTCCCAGTCACAAGACACTCCAAGAATACCCCACAAAGCAAAGCCAAGACTCACAGAATTGTATATGTCCCTGTGTCAAGGAAACTAGCTCAATAGGTAAGATGCAGAGCTTGCATTTTATAAAGCATAACAAGTCAACTGAAAGCTCGTAAATATAAACTTAAAATATTCAAGTGATAAAAAGGTATACAAAGAAGCCTCAACTATATTATCTGCTGCTAAATAGCAATGTGTAAAGGCTTAAAAGAGTTATAAATACAGACAACACAGTTTTGTTTCTGTTGAACTACTTCACAATATTATTATAATAACATGCCAAATCTACAGAATAAAAGTACTCTGGCAGCAAGTTCAATAATGACAACAACAAAATTGTTGTCACTGTATGCTTCTGTCAATCAATCAATCAAAAGAGGAGGAAGAGAAAGAAAACTTTAATTAGAAATTCAAAATATGCCTAACAAAACAAATGGAACTTAATAGAGGTGTTAATGGTAAAGACAAGGTAATTTTCTATAAAGTACAAAACAGAAAACAAACATGCAGAAGAGGAAAATAATAAATCCAACATCTGGCTAAGCTCAGAAAGGAGAAGAAAGGCAAGAAAGTTCTCAAACAAATTAAAGAGTATAATCCAAAAAAAAAAAAAAAAAAAAAAAAAAAAACTGGATCCAGTGTCCAAAACAACTGGGAAGAATGCCCACCTACGTCTAAGTAAATAGTGCACATTTTTAGAGCCCACAAGGTAAATAACAAAAACAGTAATGGCCAGTAAGATGGCTCAGCAGGTAAAGGGGTCTGCTGCCAAGCCTGATCACATGAGTTCAATCCCTAGAAGTGACATGGTGGAAGGAGACACCCAACGCCTGCAAGTTGCCCCCAATCTCCACACAAAATAAATAAATGAATAAAAAACAGCAATTATACTAGTAACAATAAATACATATACAATGATCAGCATCTCCAACAAATTACTGTGTTTTACAAATACTAATTCATTTAGTTCTCAAAGCAAACCACCAAGTAAGGGTTACTGTTAATTCCATTTAAAAATAAGAGGATGGGGACAGAGAGATGACTCAGTGGTTAAGAGCCCTGGCTACTCTCCCAGTGGACCTAAGTTCAATTCCCAGCACCCATATGGCAGCTCACAATTGTCTATAACTCCAGTTCCAGGGGATCAGACACTCTCACACAGACATTCATATAGGCAAAACACCAATGCACATAAAATAAAAATAAATTATTAAAAAAAGGGGTGAGGGGAAGAATGTTGGACACTGTGGCACACATCTTTAATGCAAGGACTGGAGAGACAGATGCAGGTGGATCTCTATGATTTTAAGGCCAGTCTGTTCTACAGCAAATTCCAGCATAGCCATGGCTACACAGATATACTCTGTCTCAAAAAAAAAAAAAAAAAAAAAAAAAAAAAAAAACAAGTAATTAAAATTAAAAATAAGAATACATAATTGTTTAAAATATATATCCCCACAAAAATGCATAACTGAAAATCTTGAGACTTTAATTCACCACATCTGACTTTTATCAACCCTTTATAGCAAGTGAAAAGTTGATAAGTAAGTAGACTAGATATATGACTATAGCAGATAGCAATGCTGCATGCAGGGAGCTTGGGTCATGAAACATAACTGACTTCATTTCTAATTGAATAAAGGATACTGAAAATGTCCATAGTCGATAAGAATAAGGCCTGGATACAGCAATATACATAATGCAATAGCGATCTGTGAAGAAAAGTATGGTGGATAAAAGAGGTCATTATTATAGCAGAGTGACATCCACTGTGCAACTAGCACGGAAGAAATGTCCATCTTCCTGAGGCACTGTCCTTCCTTAATCAAAATATTCCATTTTCACAAGACACCTATTAAGACACTAACGTTTTCATGGAGGCAACAGAAAACAATAAAAAGTAAAAAATTTTTTATCTCTTTTGTTATTTTGAGTCGTGCTATGTAGATCTGGGTGTCCTGGAATTTACCATGTAGGCCAGGCTGTCCTCAGACTCACAGAGGTGCACCTGACTCTGCCTCCCAGAGTGCTGGAATTAAAGGCACCCTCAACACCACACCCAGAAAGGCATCTTTAATCAAATGAATGGCTATCTAATCATTCAGTGTAAAATTCTCAAGAAAGGATACTTGATAAAGACTGTGAACACACACACAAACTTCCCAAAATGCCCCTCAGTTGAGTCCTTGTCACGAGCCTGCTCAAAATTCTGATTTACAAGCTTAGCACTAGGGCCAGTATGGCGTGGGTCAGCAGGGCAGTACTCGTAAAGTTCAGTGCTCTGTTATTACTAGAGAGCGCTCAACATAAATACTATAAGTTAAACTGTTGTTTCTAAATGAAAATTAATCAACAGAAGATAAAATATTCATTATCCTATCTACTCCCAAAGAGCAGGATTCCTTGAAAGTCCATCCTTAGTAGGCTAGTAATAACTCAAACATATTAGAGATGAAATGTCAGGCAGCTTTAAAACTTACCTTTCTCTTAGGTGAGATTTCTTTTAAGGAGTAACAGTACAAAAGCACCGCGGGGATGTAAATGAGCAAATCAGCAGCTAAAACTGAAAACAAGCAAATACATGAGCCCATCGGGCTTCTCCACCTACCACCTTCCTCCTACAGTCTTGACTAAGAACTGGATTAACACTGCATGCAAATCTCTGCGCAATTAGCCGTTTCCATTCCCTCTACTTATAAAGGCTATATCCCAAGAAGCTTCTCTGACTTTTCAGACATTTAATCAATAAGACAAAGACACCTAGTCTCCTAGTCACACTCTTGCAGCTCTGACTTGAGCACCAAATGAACACTGAAAGCATGGGAAAAGAATCTGTTCTCTCAAAATGTTCTGTTTTAAAGAATCACTCAAAGGAGAATCTCTAGTGTTCCTACTTATAAAAAATTATAAACTTTCACGAGTCGATGCATATAACAAGCTAGAGAGAGCCTAGTGTCTCATGAACATCATTTTGCCAACCAGCAGGATACAGCATGAGGATGCAGCCTGGAACTTCATAATGAGTTCCAAACCAGTCATGAGACAACAAGACATTGCAAGACCGTCTCCAAAAAAAAGAACAGAGCTTGAGAGACCTGGGTAAGGAAGAAACTGGAAACATACACACACATACCATGTGTCTGTGAGTATGTGTCTATATTACATAAGAAGGGATGGTGGGAGTCAACAAAACAAGAACAAGGACAGACAGAGAAAAAAACACAATGTATAATTCCTTGTTGTACAGTCATTTTAAAAGAAAGAAAAAACTTCTCGAATAGGACAACATTTCTGTCCACAAAGGAAATGTTTAAGGCCTGGCACTCTCTGAAACTAGAACTGACTGCCCTAGCAGCTGTGACTTCTGGAAATGCAGACATTAGTTTGGTGCTGAGAACCACAGGATGAGCATGCAGTCAGAAAACATTGGAAAACACAGAAGGAGGAGAGATGAGGAAGAGAGCAGACAAAACACGAGTTATTTCCTGGGCGATATTCTCTAACAGGTGAACCCCAAGTTCTCGGTTAATTATCAACAAAAGGTGCAAGTTAGAATTGAAGTCTTAGTTACAGAATGCTTGTAAAGAAATCAGAACTTATGACTTTCCACAACGATGCTCATAAGCACTGATGACAGGCTGGGGACATAGCTCAGTGGTAGGGGCTTGGCTAGCGTAAGTCCCCAGCACCCCTCAAAAAGGGAGGGAAGGCATGTGAGTGAGTTATTTAATGTGTAAACAACACAGGGTATGAAGCACCACTGTAGGGACTGCTTTAAGAAAGTGGGAGGAACCTGGGATTAGGATACTAAAGTGGCAGCTTCAGTCTTCACTATCTGACGTTTCCCACCTCGTGTGATGGAGCCTCAGGGGTTTCCTCTGCTTAAAATAAGGGTAAGAATATTCATTTCACTTGGGTGCTCATGGGATCAAGTGAGACAATAAAGGTGAAATACACAGAATTATTCCTTTAATCTTGGTTTAACATTTGCATGTATTTTGAGTTCTACAGCATATGTGTGTGCATGTGTAAATAAGTGTATGTGTATATATATGCATAACTATACAATTTTAAAGTCATTAGAACAGTAACGGCACACGCCTTTAATCTCAGCACTCAGGAGGCAGAGACAGGCAAACCTCTGTGAATTCATGGCTGGTCTGTCTGGTCTGTGAGTTCTAAGATAGCCAGGGCTACACACACAGTGAGATACTGTCTCAAAAAACAAACAAACAAAAAGCACAACAAAAATGGTATTTTTATCAATTTACCCAAATTGTTTTTTAAAAAATCAAACTTTTGGCCCCAACGCCAACTGCTCTTTTACCTGTGGTACGCATGAAGAGCTTGTGTGCTTGGCTCTCATATCCACGTGATGTGTGCAGAGCAACCCAGTCAGGATTTATAAACTCTGCCCTGCAGATCAAAGCATATACACATGCACTCCATTACTCTAAGTGTTAGTAATGAGGACATCTGAAAACACAGAACTCTAACAGTTGGCTAATGCTGTTAACAGGGTCAATACTGAAGCTTCAGTCCTTATATTTGATCACATAAAATTTTCTGAGGATATAAAACAGTATCTCCTCTGCCTTGCTCATCTTCCAATAAAATCATGTAATAGTCAGATATCTGACCCTTGCTGTCTAGTGTAAAAGGCATTCTGATGTCACATTGCATTATTAAAAATATACTTTGCAGACCGGCGTTGCTGACGCACGCCTTTGAACCCAGCACTTTGAACCCAGCACTTTGGAGGAAGAGGAAGGTATATCTCTGTGAGTTGGTCTACAGAGCGAGTTCCAGGACAGGTTGCAAAGCAAAACAGAGAAACCCTGTCTCGAAAAACCAAAAAAAAAAAAAAAAAATATATATATATATATATATATATATATATATATATACACACACACACACACACACACACACACACACACACACACACTTTGCCTATAACCTCTTGAGTTTCCATAGCAACTGGATATAATAAACATATTATTCATAAATATTACATAAAATTCAGTCATTATTATTGATAAATCTAGCTTTAAATCATATTCTAATGTCCTGAACACTACAAAGTATAACTAACCATTATGATGTTTAGGAACTTACTCTCAACCCATGAAAGTTTACTTTATAAAATATGAAACAGTTAAAAGTTGAAATAATAGGTCATGGATAATAAGCTCAGAAGATACAGTGAAGATGTATCTCAATTTTTGATTACACGCTGAAGTCTAAGAGAAATGGGGCTGCAGAAGAGAATAGGGTCCCCACCAAAACAGAAGTTGTCTATAAACGACTCCATTCTTTAAAGGATCCTACAAGCTTCTACCTTAGCAGACTAGTTAAGAAGGTCATTTGGCAACACTCAGGAGGCAGAGGCAGTGGATCTCTGAGTTTGAGGCCAGCCTGGTCCACACAGCAAGTTCTAGGACAGCCAGGGCTAAACAGAGAAACGGGGTTAGGGGGATGGGGCTGACATTGTTCATTTACTTGGCTACTCCAGAAAAATGAAAGTTTTCTTGTATTAGACCCTGCTCAGCATTCCATGTGCAGTTGGTAACATCTCTTCTCCAAAACAAATGTTAAGTTTTTCATTCTTTCTAGCCTAAACACCAAAACATTACTGAAATGTTCAAATTCTGATAGTGGTTCTTAAATTTGTAATATGATAAAAGCTACAAGAAATCACTTCCCCCCAAGACAGAGTCTCTCTGTGTAGGAGCTCTGGCTGTCCTGAAACTCGCTTTGTAGACCAGCTGTCCTCAAACTCACTGAGATACACCTGCCTCCCTCTCCCAAGTGCTGTGATTAAAGACAAGGGCACCATGCCTGGCTTGCAATCACTCTTAAATAACCAGATTACACTGTATCTAAGGACATAATATTCAGTTATATTAAAAAAGAAAGAAAGAAAAAAAGGAACTCACACATATGCACATAAGAGACTATGGTAGGCCGTGAGAGGTGGGTAATCCAATCCCCAATACTGCAAATTGTTATTGCTACTGTTAAAATACCTAGAAAAATAAAAAAATATCATTCTATTATCACTATTCAAGACATAACTTAATATCTCATACCACTTAATTAAAATTAAGCTTAATGCTTGACTAAGCCATTAATAATTACCCTATGACATCAAATACAAACAGGATGCTCCAGGTGCCTGGGACTTATTGTTACTCTATTCTTAACAGATACAGTAAATTAATTATACCCGTACAACAAAATATACTCAACAAAAACAATTTGTATGTGATACTGTAACAAATTAGAAAATCAGCATTTCTAATGCATAATTTAAAAAAATAAGAAGCTAGTTTCAAAGAACACATGAAAATACAGCTTATGGAAAGGGGAATACTACACAGAGTAAACAGGCTTGATGATGACTTTGAAAATAATTCAGCTAGAATACATAATTTAGTCCTTCTATAGCAAAGAATCTGTGAACCAATGGGAAAGCCTGTCTAGAGTCCATAAAAGTGTTCGGCTCCTCCAGTTACAGATGTGAAGGAATTGTAACAAAGAACACTGTGCCCCTACAAGGAAAACTAAGCTTCTATAAATGTATTTCTTAGTTATGTACTTTACTTCTTCCATCTACTTTACTCTCAGTCTCTGGTGCAGTTTACGGTAATGCACACCAAACTGCATAACCCACAAGCAATCACTCATAACCCTGTTTCAAACGGGCCACTGGCTGGCTCTCCCTAAGGTCTCTAACTTGAAGACTTGAGTTAGCACTCAAGAGTCTCATCAAGAGGAAGGATTGGGTCCACCTTAGTGGAGGAGCTATTGGCAGTTGATGGCTGCTAGGGAAGGGAGAGTCGTATGTCTGGTAGGGTGCCCATGCTCAGAGGATGGCCCTACCCCCATAAACACGCTGGCAGCAGTAACTGGACTCTGGGTTACAAAAGGAAGACATGAAGTTGGAGGGAGATTGAGGCAGAGAGGTCTCTGGGAGACAATGGATTAAAGGGAGGTAAATATGATCAAAACACATATGAAATTCTCATTAAAAATGTATTTAAAGGGCTCTCCATCAAGTAATCTACGTTCATGCCTAGGATTGCTCGTCTTTAAATGTTGGCGTATATGGAATTGAGGATTAGGAGAATGATCACAGCACACTAGAGAGCTCAATGATGTGGGTGGGGCACTGTGACACAGTGCAGCTGGTGGCAGTGGCCACTCCAGTACAAACATCCACAGGAACATCCTGAGTCCCATCCTGTGTGGCTTGCACTAGAAGCCAAAGAGCAGTGTCTTCTCCATGTGAGCTGCACAGCTTGAATCTGCCAGGGAAAACGGTGCACAAGGAGTCAGGTCTCTAGGAAGGGTTGCCCGATGACAGGCACCAACTGTGCTACTTCCAAATTCATACTACCAGAGGGCACACTGCATGATGCTTCATTGCATCTGCCTTACGCAGCTGACTTAAACATGGAAAGTTGTCAAGGTACCACCTGCAAAACCTAAGTGCTTAGCAGTAGTTCTCATTTGCCATCAACCACCAAACTACTGGGATGGGTAACTGTCATTGGGAAGTCTGCACAGCACCTACACCCTTCCCATCTTACACCACTAAGATTCCTAAAAGACACTGTGAAACCTCCAGGTGGATGTACATATGAAATTAAGGTTAATGACCATTGCTTTAGTGGTTAAGAACAGCAATGTCTATGATGTTCTGAGTTCTACAAAACAGGAGAGCATACAGACCAGACCATGAAACCACTAATGGTGGAGTGTGACCTTTTCTTTACACTGCAGAAACAGCTACAGAAATAAGACCATGTGAGAAAGACATCAAGAGATGTTCTTGGGGATCTGTGGCGTGCCAGGACCCACACCTGATGCAGAGTACTCAGGGGTGGCCAAGGGGACATAAAATTTTCAGTTGCAAACAAATTCAAATCTCCTTTTTTATTCCTTTTCAACCCCATACATAAAGCTCATTACTCTTGCCAAGATGTCTGTGTTTTTACCTAGAGCTCTTGTCACAGTAAGCTTTAGTGGAAAAAGTAGAGGTGAGGGAACAGGGCAAACATATTGTCTGCTCATGCTGCTGTTTTAAGCTTACATCCATCCAGAGGGGTTTCCAAGATATACAGTGTTCTTGCATCAAACTTCAAGTTTAGGGATAATTTTCAGGACGTAGAACTTCAAAGATGACATACAATATGAAAGACAATATATACAAAGCACCAAATGCAAGAAATGAAGAAAACAGTGTTTTTCTTTTAAATACCTTCATATAATCTATATTAACTATGATAATAAAACCAAGCCAAAATTATCCATACCACTCTTTTACTGGTAAATTAAAAGTAATTTCTTGCCAATGTCTCTGAGCTTCATAATCACCGAACATAGGGGGTTTTCCAGCACCTAGAATGAAAAGTAAAATGAAGGTTAAAATGTACTTTTAGCATATGAGGGATTATTATTATTATTATTATTATTATTTCCTTATAAAAATATCTTATATTACAGGGCAATGCAAGCTATGGAAACAACACAGGAGCTACCAAAGTCAGAGATGAGGCCTAAACCCAGTACCACGTAACCATATGATGGACAAGTTCCTTACTGCCCCACTCCCAAGTCAGGAGCCACAGAGTCTACTCAGAGAACTGATAGACAGCCACTGCAGAGCCTGGCAGGGCAGACACACAGGAAGCTGAGCCACTGGAGCGCCACTCAGCTATTGTCAGTACCAGCTTCTGTGATTAGGGCTTGGTTTTTAGTTTTTCAATTTTTATTTGCTTGATGTGGTATTGCACACCTTTAAAGCCAGCCCTGAGGAGGCAGAGGCAGGATGATCTCTATGAATTCAAGGCCAGCATGATCTACATAGTGAGTCCCAGACCAGTTAGAGATACATGGTGAGACTCTGTTTCAAATAAACAAACAAACAGACACGTGTGTGTGTGTGTGTGTGTGTGTGTGTGTGTGTGTGTGTGTGTGATGTGTAAAAGTCAGGAGACAACTCTCAACAGAGGGTCTTTCCTGCCACCTTATGGGATCCAGAGGAGTTGTTCAGTATGCATGAAAGCATCTTGCCAGCCACCATATTTACTTTTACTTCATGTCCCCAGCAGGCTTGTGTTTGAGCACATGGCCCACGGCTGTGCTGGAAGGCTGTGGAACCTTTCAGAGGTAGAGACTTGAGGAAATGGGTCACTGGGACAGGGCCTTGAGGCTTGCTAGCCAGAGCCCCCCAGTACTCTCCTCTTCCCAAATGGGGATTCAGTGTGAGTAGCCTTGTCATGTTCCTGCTGCAGTGGCAACACACAGTGACTGACCAGACCCTCAACCTGGAGGGCAGATAAAATTCCAGCCCAGCACTGGTGGCACATGCCTTTAATCCCAGCACTCAGGAGACAGAGGCAGGTGGAACTCTGTGAGTTCAAGATCAACCTGGTCTACAGAGTTAAGTTCCAAGACAGCCAAGGCTACACAGGGAAACCATGTCTCAAAAAAACAAAACAAACAAACAAACAAAAAAAAAAAATCAAACCTTCTCCCATGTGTTTCTTCTCAAGCATTTGCAATAAGAAAAGTAACAACACAAATACTTCATGAAAGTATAAATTAACAACAAACATCTGTACTTGAAAACTAAAAAAACAAACTTAGGGTCAAACACAGAATTAAAAACAGGCTATGAATTGACAAAGGTCAGCCTGTACTATCAAATGATTTGTTTAAGTAGTCAAGGGCTGGTAAGATGTCTGGGCAGCTAAAGGGCTCTCCCACCAAACCTGAGCAATCCCTAGAACCCACATGCAACCAGAGAACCCACTTCTAAGTTGTCCTGACTGCCACATGCCAAGTACTGTGGCACATACAACACACAAAAGTAAGCAAATAAATGTTAAAAAAAAAAGGGCAGCTTGTACAGCTTGTAATTTACTTGTTATAAATAAGGGATAATAAACTTTTAATAAGTAGCATGTATGTTATAATGCTAAATACAATAATCTTATGAACCAAGTGTTACAATTTTCCCTATTCAAAGGCTGGGAATAGAGGAAATATTCATACGAGTAGTCAAAAGCAGGGAAGATATAAATAAACCCAGCAGGTTGGCTCTAAAACCTATTCTTCTTGTTTTGTTTTTAGTCCTTTTTTTTTTTCTAGAAGTAAAATTACTTTAAATGGTTTATTTTTATTTTATGTGCATTGATGTTTTGCTGGAGTGTGTGTCTGTTTGAGAGTGTCTGATCCCTGACAGTTGTGAGCTGCCATGTGGGTACTGGGAATTGAACCCGGGTCCTCTAGAAGAACACCCTTCTAACCACTGAGTCCTCTTAACCACTGAGTTCTCTCTCCGGCCCCTATAACCCATTCTTAACTCCTATACTATCATGCCCACATAGATGACAAATCTCTACAGCAAATACTAAACACCCTATTTAACTAGCAACTGACTACTAAACTGTGAGGAAGCCCAAAAAGGTACAATAGTCAGAGTTTTTTAAGTCAGCAAATAAGGTAGAAATCAAAATAACTACATGCACTTCTAAACCAGAAGGAAGGTGTGGCACACTGAAAAATGACAGACCCCCTGCTTGGTGAAATCTAACCCAGATTTAGAAAGGGAGCTGTTTGCATTTGTTGGCTGCATCCTTGAATGCTACAATTTCTAAGGAGACAGTCTATAATGGGAAAAGCAGACTGATGGCTCTACAGCATGTACACCGAGTAACTGGCACAGAAACGACCCACAGTACAAATATACTTGTAGATATGCAACTCCTCCATCTCTCAGAATGAACCGTGCTTACTCATCTTTGTATCCTCAGGTGTGTTCACCTAGTGACTCTCAATAGCCCCTGACAGATTCCCAGTGCCTTAATATAGCAAAGATGGTGATGTAGTTAGTGTGACACAGCAAGGCTTTTCATTCAAAACCTGTGAGCCCTCCTTTTCCCACTTAATGGGAATGTGATGGCAGACTAATTACACCAATGCTGTCTGAATATACAGCCCAGGTATTGGTCCTGCCCCCAACACCTTTCCTTATGGCACTTTAAAAATTCTGTTTATTCTGTTCACTCTCATATACATATCGCCTATCAACTCAGATATGCTGCCTTCAAGAATCACCTCTGGGACCAGGGAGATGGCTCTACAGGCTTGCCAGTAAATCCTGCCCATCAGAATTTGATTCCTGGAACCCATATAAAAAGCTGAGTGTGGTAGCACACATTTGTGATCCCAGAATCCCTAAAGGCAGAGACAGAATCATCCAGCTCGTGGGCCAGCTAGCCTGCAACAATAAGAGAAACTCTGCCTCATAAGGTACCAGGGGAGAATAGACTCCTCAAAGTTTCCCTGGCACCTACTCACACTCACACTAAACACCTCAGGGTTAGGGATGTAGCTTAGTGAGAGTGTGCCTAGCATGTGCAAGGTTCAATCCCTAACACCAAAAAAACAAACAAAATGTTGAGTAGGTGTAGTATCCCTTCAAAGCTAGGAACGGGTGGAGCAGAGATGGTAGCACATTCCTTAATCCCATCACTTGGGAGGTAGAGGCAGGCAGATACCTGTGGTTTGAGAGTAGCCTGATCTACTTCATGCCAGCCAGGGCACCATAGTGAGACCTTGACTCAAAAGAAAAAAATAAAAAATGCACAGAAGTAATCCCAGCACTCAGTGACAGGCAGGAAAATCAAAAGTTCAAGGCCATTCTTGGCTGCATGGGCTAGTCCAGCTTACACTACACAAGCCTTGTCTCAAAAAAGCAAACAAAATCACTTCAGATCCCAACCTCCCCCCCAAGTTTCCCTTTACAAATTAAAAAATAAATGGTGACTTACTGATTTCTCATATGTACACTTTCCATATCATGTTTGTAATATGGCTACACTACTTTCTGATTGATGATAACCAAGTAGAAATTTCAGTTACTGGAACAGAAAAGATATGTGTAGGTGATGCTTTGTCCTATCCTGCCCTGCAGTCATTCAGTTCCAAGTAAACACATGGAGGCTTATATTAATTATAAACTGTTTGGCTATTGCCCAGGCTTCTTATTAGTTAGCTCTCTCTTAATTATTAACCCATTTCTATCAATCTATGTATCTCTACATGGTCTTGGCTTATCAGTGATGCCCAGGTCTCTTGCTTCCTCAGTAGCTACAGGGCATCTCCTTCAATCCACCTACCTTTCCCTATCCCTGTTTGAATTTCCTGCCTAGCCAAATCCTGCCTGTTCATTGGCCGAAACAGCTTTATCCATCAACCAATAAGAGAAATATATATTCACAGCATACAAAAGGGCATCCCCCATCAAAAATGTTTCCATAAAGCAAAGTAAGCAACATATTAAGCATGCAGTAATCTAAAAATGTATTCAATTAAACTCTAATAAGAGAAGAAAAACATTTTTTTCTAATAATTTTTTCAAAGAAATGAATTCCCCCAAGAGTCTTTACATATCATATAGATATATGTATGTGAATCCAGTCCAATGAATACAACACTGGATATATGGCTTCTTTTGGGAAGAGAAATGAATAATTTTTTTTCTTTTTCCGATGCCCTTAGGATAATAAAGTCAGAAAAGATTCTGGGTAATTTCTATACCTTGAGAAAAAAAAAAAAAAATCAAACTAGCTAGATTTCCTAAAACTACTGTAGATACTGTGTGGCTGACATGGAAGAATTGATTATACTAACCAGCAAACAGAAGACTGGATAACAACTCTTTTCAGGGTTGGGAAACAGGTTTTTCTCCGGAGTCTGACCTACTTTAATAAATTCAGCTGACACTAGCTATGAAATTAGTACTTAAGTTTTTAAAACTGCTAAAGTGCCCTCAAAGCAAGCCAGAAGGACAGCCCAACTGTGCCTGTGGGAGCCGCACTCAGAAGGGCAAAAGGATTCCTTCCACGGTGATTAATTCTACACACATGAGATTCAGAACCAGGTAAAGAAAACACGCCAACGTGCATTTACAGAACAATTTCATCATGCTTCCAGGAAAATGGGATTTTTAGTAGCACTAAAAATGTTCATTTATTAATTGCTAAATTATTCAAAACTGTGTGTAAATATATAGAATAAGCGGTCTGTCAACAACACATACTTTACACTCTTGCTTTAAACATTCCATGAGAAGAGTTGACTACATTTTTCCATGAATTTCTTCTCTGTTACGATTGTGTAACCTTTCACAAACAGTAATGGATAAGTCAAACAAAATCAACTAATTAAATCACATTCTGTCATGCTTTTTTAAGGGGTATTTTTACAAAACTGATTTTTTAAAATGATGTTTTCTTTAGCTACTAATATGACCTGGGGTGGGGGTAAAGGGGAACAAAAGGTTGCCTCCTCAACTTAAGTGTTGTAAGAGGCATTGTAAATGTCTACAAGAAATGACAACCTGGCCAGGCGGTGGTGGTGCACACCTTTAATCCCAGCAGAGGCAGGTGGATCTCTATGAGTTCCAGGCAAGCCTGGTCTATAGAACAAATTCCAGGAAAGTCAGGGCTACATAAAGAAATCCTGTCTCAAAAAAAAGAAGAAAGAAAAAGAAAAAAGAACAAAAAAAAAAAAAAAAAAAAAACGGAAGGAAGGAAGGAAGGAAGGACAAACTGGCACTAAAGTAAGAACCTGTCTATTCCCCATAGGTTGTTTAATGCAACATACAATATTCAGTATCTATCTTAGTTCTGTGAAAAAGCAACACTAAAAATACAGAGTATAAACTTTAGGAAAAAATTAAAGTATAATAATGTATTCAAGTAATCTGCCCAAACAATATACACATTTCAAAGAAAGAATAATACAGTAGGATGAATGCATGTTAACCTGAACCTCCACACTTGAGTGTGGCAGAGATTTGGACATATTACCCAAAGTGACACAAAGCAGAGATTAAGCTGAGGTTATCTGAGAAACAGCAGATGCAGACAGGTCTTTCTGACCTTTCCCAGAAGCAGGTCAAAAGACCACTAAGTAAGAAGTACTCTGGAATATCCTGGTCTCCAAAACTGGAAAGCCAGGTTACAAGATGCAAGAAATTATCACCTTATATCCATCCCATCCCTTGTTTCTGTTGCTTGAGACAGCCTCTTGGGCAGCTCAAGCTGATTTTTTAAACTCTAAGGATGACCCTGAACTCCCACTCCTCCTGTTTCCGCCTCCCCACTACTGAGACTATAGGTATGCATCAACACACCTCGTTTATGTGGCAATAGGGAATAAGCCTGTTCACTCTTTATCAGACCTAGTGCAAAACATTGAGTATGAAGTGTTTTTCTGGGTTCTCAATTCCTCATGAAGGCTCCCATGTCACATAAGGCTTACAAGGAACAAATCTGTATGGTTACCTGCTAACTTGTCTTTTGTTAAAACTTAGACAGGTTAAAGGAAAGGATTTTTTTTTTTCCTCTCCAACAAAAAGGCTTCCTAATTGCACTCTTAAAATAAACCAAAAGGAAAATATACCTGTTTTTAAAAATTAAAGCAAAACATCCTAAAGACAGGAAAAATGCACTACCTGAGTAAGGACTAAGAGAAACCGTCCACCGCACTGTGAGTCCTATTAAGACCACGAGTGTCATCCAGTACCAGTTCTCCATAGTTCTTCAGATTCAGGGAGGAAGACAAAAGCCAGGGCCAGAATACTTCCTGCTAAGTCGGTCACTTGTCTCCTTGTTCAAAGCAATGTCACCATCTCTGCAGTTAGGAGCTTGGGAGGACTTTAAAGGATGCTCTGCTTCCACACAGTTAAAAAAAAAAAAAAGAAAAGAAAAGAAAAATAGATTATGTCTGTGGAGAAGTAGCCTAAGGAGAAAACAGAACCAAAATTTAATTTCAAACCACACCCTAACACTGAACCCATGACGCCATGCAGAAAGATGAGAGGTTGGAGGGGTGAGAGCCTACAGACGGCTATTTAAATTTCCTATAAAACATGATACAATCTTGCCTAAAGATAAGACAGACAAGGGCTTGTTTTTACAAGTATTTCTGAAAGGTGTAGATAGTGACACAATCTATATACAGCATGTACACCTACAGCAAATACCAGCAATTCAATACCAGCACTTGGGAGCCTAAGACATGAGTTCAAGGCCAGCCTGGACTTCATACTGAGCCCACAAAGATGGTAACTTATCTTTGGCACAAAGGAGGAATTTTGTCTTTGCATTTAGTTTGGAAAAGCCTTCCACTGATGTAATTTCTGAAGTCTTGTTTTTACTTCCTTCTCTCACATTATCTGTGCACTAACCATACACATCAACTTCCCATGTGAGGGAAATAAACTTTTAAAGGCAAACTGGTAAGAATGGCCCAAATCTTAGAAGAGAAACCACAAAAGCAAAAAACATTAAAAAAAAAAAAAAAAATACCCACCCCCCCCAAAAAAAATTCTTCTTCAGCCCTTTCTATTTTTTTTTTTTTTTTTTTTTTTTTTTAGGTTGAATAGTGTGTTATGTTTTACTGTTCCTGTGGTACTGGAGATGGAACCCAGGGTCTCGCACACATAGTAAATACTCACAACAAAGACCCATGTCCCAGACCAGGCTGGGAGGCTAAAAGCAAGAAGCAAATGGACACCTTCCTCTTTGAAAACTTATGGGTCATATTAAACATATTCAGAGAAATAAAAATAACAAGTCAACTAACAACTTTTGGAGAAAATTGGAACAGTCTACCACTTAAGCTTAAATTATTTTCTTACTTAAACCTATCAGGGGGCTAAACAGATGGCTGAGCCGTTAAATGTGCCTGATGCTCTTGAAGAGGAGCTAAGTTCATCCCCAGCCCCACAGCAGGCAGCTCATAGTCACCTTAACTCCAGTCCAGAGGACCTGATGCCCTCTTCTGGCTTCTGTGTGTTCTGGCATGCTTGGCATACACTCACACAGCCACAGCCACACAAAAATAAAAGCGAAAATATTAAAAACTTGATACTGAAAAACACTGTAATTAACTTTTTAAAAAAAAATTATCAAAAGCAATGCCAGAACTAACGGAGTCTGGGTAGAATGACTCAAACCACTGAGTGAGGCTACGTAATTCCACTTTCATGGCTTGAGTGACAGCAACTCCCTTTCTCCTCACTGTGTTGCTCCTCTGGTCCTTAGACTGCTCCTCAAATTGCCATCTCAGAAGCAAGACAAAGTAAAGTTTAATCACTTTCCAATGCTGACTCTGGATTTGACACAAGTTAGAGAACACTATAATCCACTCAAATGCTTTTTCAGTTTATCACTAAAGTCTCTTAGATCAACATTCTTTCTGGGCTGTAGTCAGACTTGCAATGTTATAATGTATTTCTGCTAGGACATTTCAAACTTATAATTAAATGCTAATTCCTGGGTATTTAAATACAAATATATTTAGCTAAGTAATATTTGATTTAAATAATATTCTAAGTAGGAAATTTAAGTCACTGATTGTAGATGGACTGCCCCACCAGCCAGTTCCCAAATAAACACAGAGACTTAGTATTAATTATAAATGTTCAGCCAATAGAGCTAACTCTTACATTTTAAATTAACCCATATTTCTTATCTATCCTGTTCACATGGTAGTACCTTCTTTTAGAACAACATTCATCTTCCCAGCATCCTCTTTGCCCCCAAAAAATCCTGCCTAGCCATTGGCCAATCAGCTTTTATTAAGCCAGGCATAGTGACACTTATTCACAAAGTGTAAAGGAATATTCCACTACTGATGGTCACAGTCAGTTTCAGTTGTCAATCTGATATAAACCTAAAGTTATCCAGGAAGAGGGAACCTCAACTGAAGAACTGCTCAGCTCAGACTGGCCTGTGACCAATTAATATAGAAGGGCTCTCTTAGTTGCTAATTAATACAGAAGGGCTCTCTTAGCTGCTGAGCACAGCAACTCTTGTAAAGGAAAACATTTAACTGGGGATGGCTTATAGTTCAGAGGTTTAGTCCTTTATCATCGAGGTGCAGGCAGACATGATGCTGAAGAAGCAGCTGAGAGTCCTACGTATTGCAGGCAACAGGAAGTGCTCTGTGTTATCACGTTAAGCAAACCTTGAGGATACATGAGACCTCAAAGCCAGCCTCCACAGTGACACACTTCCTCCAACAAGGGCATAACTACTCTACTAAAGCCATGCCTCCTAAAGCCTGTCACTCCTTTTAGGGACCAATTTCTTTCCAACCACCACAAAGGCCCAGGCCACAGTGGGCCATGCCATCCCTAGGCAGGTGGACCTGGACTGCTTAAGAAAGCTAGCTGAGCAAGCCAAGAAGCAGAACAGTAAGCAGCAGAATGGTTTCTGGCCCAAGCTCTTCCCTTGGCTTCCATTGATGATGGACTACAACCTATAAGATGAAATAAACCTGTTTTCCTAAGGTTGGCTACAGGTATGGTGGTTACCATAGCAAACAAATCAAACCAGGAGACTTATAACAAGGGGTTAAATGAACTGTCCTCTGTTGCAGATAATTCTATTTAAGTACTTCTTCAGGAAACTTAATAAAAACAAGCCTTCTGATAATACTGAACCATCAGCATCATGAACTTACAACAATGAAATGCTTAATAGGTATCCTGCTGACTCAGCTTGCCAAGAGCACAATGGAGAAGACACAGCTACGCATAACAGATGAAAACACTCAAATCCAAAGTTTTCCCAAGCAACTATGGAGTAATCCTAACTCTAGAGCGAACAAAAATTTTAAAATTCAAGTACATTCAAAGCACTGCACTTAAAGGTGGGGGAAAAATCAAGTGTGTGCTGACTGACTACAAGACAACAGATAACTAATGTGTGCTGACTGACTACAAGGCAACAGATGACTAGTGTGTAACTGACTGACTATGACAACAGATGACTAGTGTGTAACTATGACAACAGATGACTAGTGTGTAACTATGACAACAGATGACTAGTGTGTAACTATGACAACAGATGACTAGTGTGTAACTGACTGACTATGACAACAGATGACTAGTGTGTGTGACTACATGACAACAGATGACTAGTGTGTAACTGACTGACTAGAAAGCACAATAACTACACCGTGACCATAAATAAGCAACTCAAGGAGGAAAAGGCTAATTTCATTTACACTTCCAGGTAACAGTCCACCATGAAGGGAAGGCCAGGAGAAACTACACAAAGCAGGATGTGGAGGCAGGAACTTGAGCAGAGGCCATAGAAGAGTACTTCTTACTGGCTTTCTTCTCATGGCTTGTTCAGCCTGCTTTCTCTTACAATCAGGACTACCTGCCCAGGGGTGGCAATGTCCATGGTGCACTAGGCCCTCTTACATCAATCATCAATCAAGAAAATGCAGCCAAGCAGTGTCTTTAATCCTAGCACTTTCCAGGCAGAGGCAAGTGAGTTCAAAGCCAGAACTCACTACAGAGCAAGTTCCAGGACAGACAGGGCTACACAGTGAAACTCTGTCTTAATAAAGGAAGGAAGGAAGGAAGGAAGGAAGGAAGGAAGGAAGGAAGGAAGGAAGGAAGGAAAAGAGAAAATGCACTACAGGCTTGCCCACAAGCCAATCTGGTGGCAGGCATTTTCTTAACTGAAGTTTCCTCTTCCCAAACGACTCTAGCTTGTGTTGAGTTGATAGAAAACTCACCAGCACTATGGTGTTACAAATGAAGACAAAAGTTATCTAAGGGGTTGGGGGAAAGAGTCTTTGGGGAGGTCTTCTGAGATGCTATGAAGACTGTTATATGAGTAACAGTAAAAAGATGTGTTCACTAGGTGATCAATCGACGAGCAACAATTTCCAGTACAGGTATGTACAGTATGGCTCTGCAAGCACGCTATTCCAACAAAACTAGCTAAGGAGGAAATGACATTTGTCATTGGGAACAAAAATCCTCCTTGGTCCTTTCACACTTACACCAGGGTTGGCAGAAAGCAGGAACGCACTTACATTGAGGCGCGGGGGGGGGGGGCGGGGATAAAAGTGGGGAGAAGGGAAGGGGAGAGATCTGAGTCCTGTGTGGTTATTCGGTAAAACACAAAGTCTCACTGTGTTGCTCTGGCTAGCCTAGAACTCGCTTCGGTAAAACAAGCTGGCCTCTGCTTCCCGGTGCCACCATGCCGGGCTATTTCCCCCTTAAACTGTGAGTGCTGCTTCACCTGCAAGCGCGGCTCAGCAACTTTGTCAGAAGCCACATGCAGGTAGCAGGCGCATCCCGACAGGAGCCAGGACGCCGAGTCCCAGGGTGCACCCTTTCCCTGCAGAGGGACCCTCGGGACTCCCGCCCCTGGGGCGGGCGGGACAGACCCACAAGGCGGCAGCGACAGAATCACCGGGACCGCTCCGGCCAGGCCGCGTCACCACTGCAGGACGGCCGCAAGCCGAGGGCCCGGGGCAAGGCGAGGCCGTGTGACAACCCCCGAGTCGTCGGCTCGCGCCCGCTGCGAAACCTCCCCACGCCTCCACACCGCCGCAACCCCGGCCACCTACCAGCCACCGGCCTCGGGAATTGGCGCCCACAGACCCAGCGAAAGCGCCTGCGCACTCGCCGCCCTCGGAGCAAGCGCGCCTCCGTCGCCCCTCACGGGAGCGAGCCCGTAAGGCGAGGGGGCGGGGAGGTGGGCGGGGCTCGGCGGGGGCGGGGCTGGCGCCTTTCGGGAGTCGGTGTCCAAGCCCTGGAACCTGAGAAGTTTGGCCAGCGGGGTTAGGTCAGGGGCAGGTGGAAAGCCCCTTGCTCCTCTTTCCCGGGATCGCGGCCAAGGCCCGAGCGGCTGCTTAGCCCATGGATTCCTGTGAGGGGCGGCTCCTGCCCGC